GCTAAGATGATGTTGCTTCTTATGGTGAGCATTTCCTGGGAATCTTGAAGATGATGTTCTAAGTTGGTATAAAAACATTTTGCCATTCATGAAGATGTGTTCTGTACTTATTTGTCTCTTCCCAAATATGGGAAAAACAGGGATTAGTGCAATTTCTGATACAGATCTATTTGCAGAAGAGTTTACCTTCTTCAATACGTATGTATTAATTCAATTAAACATCTAATGTTAGTCTCATTTTTCTCGTTGAAGCAGTTATTTTTTCTGGCAATTAAGATAGTATGATATATGCTAGTATTCTCCTTACTTTTCTTCTCTGCTGTGGTCAAACAAAAGTTTTTACACGTGTCTGCTTTTGAGCCTGTAAGGAAAGTTCTCTTAGGCATACATAGGTCAAAACTTTTACACTTGCCATTTTGCCATTTTTTAGCACTGTAATTTTTTACGCTTTCTTGAGAATGCTTCTGATGTGTATTCTTCAGACAGGGGCTGGTACTTTCAAATTGGTGGAAAGATGAAGCTTGGGATGCCAATTTCTGGTGCTTTTAAAACAGCATTGGCCACTTGGAAATCTTGGGTCGAGAGTAGGATCAATACCAGAAAAACTCGTGTATTTTTCCGGACATTCGAATCCACCCACTGGAGGTGTGTTTTGTGCGTCATGTTTGGTGAAGCTAATCAGCAGTGATTTCATTTGGATTATTTTGCTTCTGATTTTGCTATGTCCATTTAAGTCTTCCTGTGCATTGGTAGAATAAATTTGCAGCAGCTAAATTTTCTTTAGCATTAACAGCTGCATCCATGTTAAATATATTGTTTTCTTTATTTTCCTGAAGCATTTAGTATTTGTTGGATGGCTTGTTATTGCTGTTTTTGTATTGGTGGAATGTCAAAGGTTTCCTTTTTGGTAACTTTTCCCGTAAACACTCTAACCATGAGCAAACTTTAATTGGGCCCTAGTTCGCATAATTACCATTTATTTCTTATATCTACAACAATTTTCCAAATTTCTAGTTGACTTATACTGATGCTTGTATCTGTATCTGTAGTGCATCCCGACAGCATTGCAAAGTAACAGAGCAGCCCATGTCAAAAGTTAACGGCAGGGACAAGCACCCGTTTTCTGATGCCATAATTGACGCTGCTAAGAATACATCAATACCTGTCACAGTGTTGCATGTAACTCCCATGGGGGCATTCAGAAGTGATGCACATGTGGGGACTTGGAGTGACAACCCATCAGTACCTGATTGTAGCCACTGGTGCTTACCTGGAGTACCTGATGTTTGGAACGAACTGCTCTTCTCATTTCTGCTCTCAGATCAAGGCCCTCAATGAATGTAAAGTAGCAAGTTTATTATCCTACTTGCATGTCCATATAATTGAGCTTGCTTGTACATACCTGTCATTTTTTCACTTTATTGCTGCTTCAAGGGTATGATGCCCATTTGATCAAGGTATATGCTGCAAATAGAGCTTCTTTGTACATTGAGTGGCACTTCCTTCTTTGTTGTATTATTCATCATCAAGAAGACAGTTAGATTTTTCTTTTCCAACTGTGCCAATGTAAAGAAATTCGCTGATAATGGAAGACCGAGGATGTAAACTGAACTCAGGAAATGGCTTCATATGTACAAAGATTCCCTTAATGACAAGCTGGTCATTTTGATCTCTTTATAACAGGAATATAGCTTGCTTTATTCGTTCTCTTTTCATCTCCTTCATGCAAGTATGTGGATGGGGATTCAAAAATGCTGCAATCTTTGCTCTTTAAAGTATCAGATCTTAACAGAGCTTTGACTTAAGATATAAGTAGACACTCAGAAAGAAACCCCATATCTCATCCTGCTATGGCTTTAGTTACCATTTTTTGGATTACCATTGCCTGATTATCAAAGTAAAAGGATTCCTGACTCCCTGCTACCTAAGATTTCTGCATTTCCTTCATTTGCATATGCTTCTCCTTTCTGATCTTCTAAATCACATTAGCATCTTATTTTCCGGAGGTATGTCATGGAGTTAACAAGTAGGATCATCTTCAGTTCTCTGGTTTAAGTAATCTAGGCGGTAATTAAAGCGTTTTTTTAGCTTTGAACTGGTCAATAAAACATGACTTTTCTTCTGAATTCAGAAATCTTATGCATGTTAGATTAATAACGGGCAATTGGCTGAGGGAATATTTTGCTGCAGTTTTTTTAAGAACAGAAGCAACTAAATGTGCAGCTCTGGCCTGATGGCAGCAGAAAGAAAAAAATTTTGAGTGTTTTTTTCAAAGTTTACCCTCATTAATCTTTCAGAGTCAAGCATTCAGATATTATATACTTGTAATTAAGCGAGCACTAGTACAATTTAGAAGTCTTTTAAGGGCAAATTCAATTTGTACATGTTCTTGATTATGGAAGAATAATTACCACTTCCAATCTGATTCTGAAACTATAAGCAGGCAAGAAGAAGCTGTTGAAGAAGTGTTTTTCACTCTAATCAAAATGTGAAGACTCCAAATCTTAACATGAGTGCCACGTTTTTGGAAGCTTGAAAGCATTGTCGTAAAGAAACAGGCTGAAATCTTTAGTACAAATAGGAACCCTTCCCTGGATTATCTCATCATCCAACTGAGATCATCCCAAGATTTCCAAAAGCATTGCAATGGCCTCCGTCAACAACTACAACTTCCCTCATTTTCCTCCCCCACCAACACCTTTTGTTAGTCCACCAACTCCTGCCCGTCCGATTAGGCCCTCTCCTCCTCCTCCTGTTATTCCACCAACCCCTGCCAGTCCGATTAGGTCCCCTCCTCCTCCTGTCATTCCACCACCTGCTCCCAAACCGACTAGCCCACCGCCTCCTCATGTCACCCCACCACCACCTCCCCACCGTACTCCACCACCTAAACCACACCCTATCACTCCGCCACCTCCTCATATCCTCCCACCACCGCCTCCATCGCCACCAGACCATCATTCAACAGTCATAATCATTGTGTTCGTGTCATTCGGCTGTCTTCTGTTCCTTGCTTGCTCCTTGTTAGCCCTCTGGTGCTTCTTGAAGAAGAGAAAAAAGAAGGCTGTGGAAGAGACAAAGATTGTCAACATGGATGAACACTTGAAGGTCCAGGAAGCAATAGTCCAAGGACCTCATGGACAAAAAACAGTAGTCCTTTCCGTTGAGGATGATGTGCATGTCAACGAAGTAGATTACAAAAAGAGTAAGAGTTTATCTGATGAGCAAAGCATGCATGCAAAATCAGGAGAGATTGCTCCTAGCAGCCTTGAAGAAGGGAGATCTTCCTCTAGTCCTGGCCATCACCATTCTAAGCAAAATCCCAGCTGATTCATAACATTCAGTGTTCAATAACTTGAACATCACTTCCAAGACTTTCCTTTTTGCTTCAAGGCATTGTTTGCATTTCGAATAAAAATTGGTCAAATAAACATCACGAGGTAAAAGAAATATGTAACGTGATAAATGATTTTCCTACTCGTGGGAAATTAAGCTGTATAATTTATTCCTCCTTTTGATTGATGAATGAATTTGTTGTTAAATGCTTTAATTCATGATCAGCTGCTGCCATTCAATTTTCTGCCACCCCCATTGTATTCAACTTCATTCCATCATAGTCAAAAGCTAAGGACTCTCAACTTCTTCAGTTTTATATATCTTCACATTTTCTTTAGAAAGAAAGCTCCAAGCTAATCAAACAGTATCCAGCTCTCTCACAGGTATCTCTTAATTATCTTGTTCATCCATATTACCTATGTTACTAAACCTTTTTGTTTATGCTTGGAGCAATAATGTTCAAATTTTAGTGTACAAATTGCTTATTACTCTAGCTCTGTAATTTCTCCCCATCATGGTAATACACCATTCTTTCCACCCAAATGCATATGAATTGGCACTCGAAAGTAGGAAATGTACAACCCCTAAATGCCAATACACAACATACATGTGCAATGGTTGCTTATTACTACATCATATTAAGGGCACTAAATTAATAGCTAGACCCAAAAAATGTACATATGTTATTGTCCTATTGTACTTAGTTCACTGATTAAAATTCTCAAAAATTATCCTTGCATTAAAAATTTCCTAGCACGATGGCTGTCGGCCCCTATGCAAAATTTGCTTTGAAAATTCTTTCCTTTTAGACTTTGCCTTGTATGTTACATTTTCAAGCAACCTGCTAATTTACACTATTTACACATTGTTTGAGTGAAAATTGTCTCTACAACTGAAGAAAAAAATAATGGCGAAGAAAAACTCAACAAGAATGACCACTAGACCATGATGAATCAAGATCTTTGAACTTCTCAAAAAAAAAAAAAAAAAAAACACTACATATCACACATTTAGAAACAATTGAAGTTTGTTTTTGTTACATGATATGCTTGAAAAAAAAAAGAAGGAAGTTTGTTATGTGATATGGAATAAAAAAATTGAGTACCATTTTAGACGTACATTATAATAGTAAAAATCAATAATTAAATCCAAACTTGTACAATATGTAAATTTGTGATGATTATGTAGATTTGAGGGAAATATAGGGACTGTTTTCAAAGATGAGGAGGCAATTAACTGTATATTCCAATAAAGGATGTTCTTTTCTCCCAAATTTTCTTACGAAAGTAAGAAGTTTAAAGCAAATAAACCTAATCCCCAACTTTTGAAGCCCTGCGAGGGACTTATCTACCCAAACACCCAACCCCCCCAATACCGATGTGGGATGAAAAATCCCACAAGTTGCCCTGCTGCTAGAAAGTTAAGACCCCCCAAGCCCCTGAGCTGATTTTTCTTTTCTCCCAAATTTTCTTACGAAAGTAAGAAGTTTAAAGCAAATAAACCTAATCCCCATAGTAACTTCAAAAGCCGGCAACTTTTGAAGTCCTGCGAGAGACTTATCTACCCAAACACCCAACCCCCAATATCGATGTGGGATGAAAAACCCCACAGGATGTTAGGACGGTATTATTATTGATACTCGAATCCCAAGTTTCAGTTTTTGTTTGTTTCCCTCCTAATTAAGCTCCCAAGTTCACACCGCCATCCACCTCCTACGGATCACGTTTTGATATCTGAGCTCCTTTAACTCATTACTATTTATTTATGCATGTGATTCTGTGCATTCCATTTCTTCCCATTTCTCACCCTCTCTCTCTCTCGCCGCTCCTGCTGCTTTGAGCTTATTGGTTAGTGTCAAATTTCCTCCTCTCAACTCTCACCACCCTTTTTTCCACACACAAACACACCAAGAAACACACAGTCTTCAGTTTTATCGAACTTATTCCTGCAGGTATGTGGACTAATTTAGTGTTGCACTGGTTCTGCTTGAAGGAATGTCAAAAAAACTGTGATTTTAAGTTCACTTCTTCAAAATTTTGCTGGGGTGGGGGTGTTTCTTGATGATAGTTTTGATCTGAATTGATGGTTTAGAGATAGAATTTTTAGAAGGCTGAGCCCTTGTGGGATTATGCAAATTTGTGGCATGGCCATTCAAACTATAGCTAATTCTGCTGGTATTTTGCCGAAATGGTTAGGAATTTGTAGAGCAATTATTGTTACAGGACTCCAATTGCCGAGGCAATAATATTGATATGAAAGTTTTCAAATTTATGATTCCTTGTAGTTATTGCTGATTTTGGTCTTTGACACCCTTTTTTGGGTGCTTATTTGTTAAGAAAGTTATCGGATGGGAAATAAGGGATTTAATGTATTTTCTAGTGGTTATCGTGTTTGGGATGATTTTAGTGCATTTTTGCAGATGGACTACTTAATTAGATAAAAATATATATATATATATATATATATATGGAAGTAAATTAAATTCGGGGTCAGGAATTTATAACCCTTGATTTGACCCTTGAAGTTGATTGACTACATTTGCCAGACCACAATTATACATACTGTGTTGCTTTGAGCTCCTATGAACTTGATGCTTGAATGATTACTTAAAATCGTTGATGATAATGCAATATAATATGACATGGAGCTGATGATTCCAAGTTTGTCATTTTCTAGTTATTTTTTATTGTTAGTCATTTATTTGTGCTCATCAGTCTTTTTTGTTGTTTTATTATGAGTATGTAACAGCAAATTTGTCTAAAACTTCTGATAATTATGTGGAATTGTTAAAAATCTTTGTATGAATAAATGGGATAGGTTCCCTCTAACATCGATATTTTCTGGTCTACAAACTTGCCATATACTTCCTGCTTTGGGTAAGGACCATGTATCTTTTTGTTGGTTTTTCAATCTTGTTCTCATGGTTTGTCATTTTGGTTTGACTTTCCTGTTCAAATTAGTTACATTCAGGCATTATCTCTTGAAAGGAACATCATTTTGACAACCTTTATGACATTGTAACTGCTGGATGTGTATGGTTCTCTTTTTGCTTCCCATGATAGTTGGATCTTTGTGATTTTCTCTTTCACCGTAAACTGATGCCCTTCTTTGTTACTCAGTGCTGGAGTTGCCCCCTCTGCAGGAAAAATCTTGTCATAGCCCTGAGACACACAACGCATGGGCATAAATTTGTGATTTTTGTACTTTTGAGTTCGTAAATGGCTGGCTCAGTAGTGCCTGTGAGTAAGGTGCCATCACGTAATTATGGATGTATCAACTATTGCATCTCTGAGTACTGCACCTATCGGTTACAGCCTCTTCAGTTTCAGCGCAAATATCTGCAACAATCATTACATGGCAAACTTAATTTTACAAAACGACTCTTGAATGGCCCATTAATCTGCTGTGACAAGCTTAGGCCAGTAGCAGCACTTGAGTCAAATGCTCCTGACCCCATTCAACAGGTTCTATCGTTTATGATAAATTTCAACAGACAGTACTTTAGTTTCATGGAAATTGTTTTTCAGTCAAAGGAGACAAACATACATCAAAATCTTGTTACAGAGAAAGCAAATGAAGATAGTGTCTTTGTTTCTATTTTTATTCTAATCCTTGTAAATGCTGTCAAATAAAGGGATCTGAGAATCTGAGGGGAGGCAAGAACTTTAAAGAATGGAATTCATTAAGTGCAAAGTTTGCTGGAGCTTCAAATATACCATTTTTGTTGTTGCAACTGCCTCAGATTATCCTCAATGCCCGTAACCTCTTAGCGGGGAATAAGACAGCATTATTTGCCGTCCCATGGCTGGTATTACTACATTTCTCGAAAAGTACTTAAGTTCAAATCCTAGTTGTAACTGAAGTTGTTGGAGAGTTATTTTATACATTTTGTATGAAATTGCAGGGGATGTTCACTGGGTTACTTGGGAATTTATCTTTGCTATCATACTTCATAAAGAAAAGGGAGACTGAAGTTGTAGTAGTGCAAACTTTAGGAGTTGTATCCATATATATTGTTATTACGCAGCTTGCTATGGCAGGAGCTATGCCTCTTCCTCACTACATTGTCACTTCAACGGTGGTTTTTTGTGGCTTGATTTTGAATTTTATGAATTACTTTTACTTGCTTAATCCTGGGATCTGGCGTTTATGGGAAGATTTTATTACGATTGCAGGACTATCTGCACTTCCACAGGTGATATTTCTGTCTCAAGCACACACAGATAAAATTCTTGACAAAGGCAAATTATGTTAGGTTTGGCCCTTACCATGAATTTTACAGGTCATGTGGTCAACATTTCTTCCATATGTACCAAATACTATTCTGCCGGGTCTCTTAGCTTTTGTCATTGCTGTGATGACTGTTCTCATGGTAAGGTTTAAACTACTACTTTACTTATTTCCTTTGTTGTCCTAATAATTGATGCATCCCTGGAGGTTTGAAATGATAAATGTGAAAACCATGAAGGTAACATTGAGAATTGATGCCATAGGAGTCATAAAATGAAACTACAATTTAATTTTACATAGGATGAGGGTGTAAATATTCTTCTGATGCGAACAGATTTTTCTTTTCAAGCCTGGAAGCAATAGGCTTCTTCAAATCTTTTTTATAGTATCTCAAATTTGAGGTTGGTAGTCCATGAAGACATGAAGAATGGGGTGTAATTTTTGGATAATTCTATGTTACCATGTTCGGATTTTCCTGACTTAATTTCTCTGGAAGTTGTTACTTTGACTACCATGGTTTTGTTTATCAACAAGAGTCTCCTAGCTCTTTTAAAGGTATTGATGTTAGAAATACTGGTTGAAACGAGGTGGCATACAGAATTTGTTGGTGTTATTTATAGTTCACAGAAACTTCGGCTTGAATACCAAGAAAAAGATTCTACAGGAGATTTGCTGAAATGACTTTTTTGCAAGCACCTTCCCCTCACCCCTCCCCAAAAAGAAAAAAGATATGAAAAATATTAATGAGAAATGGTATATAGTAGAACATTGGCCTCAGTTTTCAATTCTTCTGTTTGTTCATCGGCTCTGTGAGGCACTATCCTTTTTTATGTAAAAACCACTCATCGGTCATTACAAGTGTGGTTTTAATTTTGTGTGGTGTATATATTCATACCTTTCCAGTTAGTGTTCCATTGTACCATCAGGACGTAATGCCCTTGTGGAAAACTAACTTAGCATCCTATTATAAATAGCCCAAAATATGAAGCTTATGTTAGTTTAAATACAGTAAATGACATGCTAAGTGTCACATGCAACTTGACCTTTCAGGTCAAATGTTTGTTGCTTTTACAAGAGATTGAGCTTGATTTTCCTATATCATTGAAAATCATCAAAGGGGTAATGTTTGTGAGAAGTTGAAGCTACTTTTTAATTGCTGGAGTCTGCAAGTGCCAAACAAGTTAATCCTCTTGCACGTGGGAAATTTGTTGGTCTTGTTAAACTCTTTTAATGTGAAATGGCTAGATATCCATATTATTACTCCTCCTCTAGTCGATCGCATATGTTCATTTGTTCTAAGTCTGCTAGTTACATTTAGAAGATCATGGAAAATCTTCATTTATCCAGTCAGTTTTTTTGCTTAATTAGCTGAGATGGAAAATACTCCAGAGCGCATGTAATCATGACAGCAGCTACATTTACAGGCTAGGATGGGCAAACTCTCAGATAGAGGCATCAAATTTGTTGGGTCGATATCTGGGTGGACAGCTACACTTCTTTTTATGTGGATGCCTGTTGCACAAGCGGTAGTTATCTTTTAATTCTATCCACAGAGCAAACGATTATTCTGCTTCAAAAGACATATTCTGAGAGGTTATTGAGGTTGCTTTTTTAATAGGCATGATGGTTTTTTTTTCAGTGGACAAATCTCCGGAATCCTGAAAATATCAGAGGGTTATCATCTGTCTCAATGTTGCTTGCTATGGTTGGCAATGGACTTATGATCCCCCGTGCGCTCTTTATTCGAGATCTAATGTGGTATGATTCTTTTAACTCAAGCTCTCTAAAGCCCTCAGTTCTGCTTTGTTTGCTTTCTAGCGACTGCACATGCTTACTTAAAAGTTCAAATTTTTATTCTTGATTGGATTGGCTTTTCAGTATAGGTAGTTTGTAAAAATGCTAGAGAACTAAGGAGTGAGTCAGAGAGAGAGAGCAAGAGATGGTGGGTGGAAGACTGAACAGTCATTTGGCACAAATCCCACAGTTACATGAAAATCTCTTAAATTGTCCTTCTATTGGGGACGCTTTTGCACTCCAGATGGTTTGAAGTGCTTGATTGAATTATTTTTGGTGGTATCCCTATGACCATAATTACTATAGTAAATGAAACAAAATGCTTATGAGTGCCTACCATGTAGCCATTAATCCTATGGTTTTTTGTGTCTATAATGAGTAACAATGTAAGCTATTCTAGGTTATATCTTCAAAGTCCAGCAAACTAATTAGGTTTGTGGAACTTTCTAGTTTATGATTATTTGTTGAAAATGTACTCTCGTACTCTTTGTAGAAGACAACTAGCCCAAGACTAAGAACATCTTATTTCCTCTAGAATACAATACAAACTTATTATCTCATCAACTTTATCATGTTTTTCATGTCAAATACCAAGTTAAGGCTTGTTTCGCTTCTCACGAACTGTAATTCTTTTTAAAACAAGATCCCATCCTCATTAATGTTATTTGGATGACTAAATAAGAATCACCTAGAGTGGCTTATATATGTGCTCCATAGAGGTGTTTTATGTTTGTAAAAGTATCTGTAAAACTACTATAAGGTCAATGGTATGTTCTGTCATCAACTTGAATATATTTGTTTATCAATAATTATATCACATACATTTCACCTTTGCAACAACTTGGAACTAAAGCACTCCAAAACAAGATGTGTTCAGGAAGTATAAATTATAACATCAGCTCAGGAACGTGCATCTGTTTCTGTAGTTTTAGTTATAAATTCTTTTTTAAAATTGTGTCAGGGCAGAACTAGGTCACAGGTCTGTAAAATCTATCACATGGTACTCTAGTGTCACAACTAGAAAAGAGAAAGGAGCACTCTTGTAAGTTGACGTATAATGTGCATGATCTTGCCATCTTGGGTTCTGCTTGAAAGTTTTGATTTTAGATGAGAGACATTTGATTACTCGATTCGCAATAGCCTAATAGAGTACAACTGAGTAGCCTTCACCCCCGAATGAGCTTCTTGATCTTGTCCTTAGGTAAGTTGTATGTCTCATTAGGAGAAAAGAAGATGTGGTTTTCTAAAGATATTCTATCATTAGGTTGGATTCTGCTTTGAAGCAAAAGAAAAAGCCCCTCCAGAGTCACTTTTGCTTTGAGCATATCCTGTGCCATTTCAAGGGAAAGATTTTTACATCAATGTGCGGTATTTTGTTTGTTGAATTCCAATAGTGTCATTCTAGTCTGTAGACCATGACAGCATGCGGAATGTGTTCTTGATGGTGCTAAACGTCTTTTATAATTGTATCTGTTTGAAAGCAATCCTCTTTTGTATGATATTAGTTTGTATTTAAGCTTCTGATGTTTTTAGACTTTTGAGTGATTGATTACAATACTATCTTAGTATGTCTTTTTATATTGTTATTGTTTTCTAAATCCTTCCAAATGATTAAATCTTATATTCAAAACACTTCTTCAGGTTCACTGGTTCAAGTTGGGCAAGCGTCTTCTATGGTTGGGGGAACCTTCTATGCCTCTACTAGTATGCTTCTTACCTTTGCAGAAGATTTCTTGGGTTGACGATTTTGTTGTTGCTGAAATTCTTTCTTTTCTTCCAGTTTTCAGTGTATCAGCCGCGAGTTCTTCGGGGCGGCAACAATCGGCCTTGTGGCTTGGATAGGTTGGTCAATTTCTCTGTTTCTGAACTTCTTTTATTACAAAATCTGTAGCACAGCTGAAGTAGTGCTTGAATAATAAGACTGTCTTGGTAATAACTTTTTAGATTCTTTTTTACCATCATCCTTAGACATTTAGCTTGAATAGGGCTTGATGGTCCTTCAACAAAACAGGGACAGAATATCCTTAAGTTTAACTTGACTGGCCTTCTTTGGTCCTTTTTCTGTGGAACAGGGATGGCACTCTGGAAGGACACACAAGTTTATGGATACACTTCCCCCTTGACATCCTTGAAGGAGTTGGTTTTTGGTCATTGAATTTACTGGTCCACCACGTCTGATTTAAATGTCGTTTGTCTGAAATACACGGGTTATCCAAGACTTCATCAGAGACCGGTAGGAATTGTGAACCAGGCTACTGGCTTCAATAAGAGAATTTCGGTTTAGAAACCCCTTTGTAGGAATCACTCCTTGACCTTATTCTTGACGATTGGCACTGTCTTGCCTATAGATTCTCAACGAGTACAGTACAATTCCTATATGAATGTAACTCAATGTTATCTTTGACAAAGCAGATGCAGTGTGCTTGGCATGCAACGATAGTGTTAATAAAATGACTGTGTTAATATTTTTCAATACAATTTTAGATTTAAAAGAATGCACAGTTAAGTATTGCTTTATCTCATTGTCAATAATCATTAGCTACATCTGAGAAATAGCCATCTGTCCACTGCCTACGATCAAGTGGAACTGGAGCAGCCCCAGTTCCAGTGAGAAGAGGTATTAAGTAGCTTAGAACAACCAGAATAAGTGCATAGAAAAGAGCCTTGGGGAGTGTTGTACTAGGATTGTCCCATAATTCAAGTTCCAGAAAAGAACATTCAGGTCCAATCCTCAGTCCACATTGTGCAAGTCCACAGCAAACCATCTTGAAGGCTGCAGTTTTGGAATGCCTACACCTGCCATAACCAAGAAAGGAAGAGGAGAAAACACCCCCAACACTACAGCAATCCATCCCACAATTGTCAAGCCCCTATAGTTTACATAAGTTAGTGCAACCGTCAAAACCAGCGCAGCTCTCATCCTATGCTTGCCATGTGCTAGAGCTGGGATTCCGGACTTCAAATAGTCTAGGAATATAACTGGATACAGCGCATTGTCTATGATTCCACTGAGCCATTTCATCCACCCTACTCGAAACCTTCAGTAAGCTCCCAATGCTGGTGAAACCCAGATGACAGAGCCTCCATTTTCTGGAAACATGGTGCCCAACTCTACTGTTACTAATGCTTCTGGGACACTCGATATCAGGGGGCAAAGCAGAAAGCCAGGAAGGGCTAATAGAGGACCAGCTGCTCGTACACTCTCCTCAACTCCAAAAGAGCCCCTAGAGACCTCATTGAAGACGAGAAAAACAAGAGGTACAATTGATACGTTGGTAAAGATTTCAAGATTTGAGGAAAACCCTTCTCCTAACTTGAATATTCAGCATCATTTTTATCCATTTGATGCCTTTCAGTTAGTTAGCAGTAGATGTTTTAATTAACTTTGTGAAGTCAAGAAGTTTGTTTCTATACAATTTGATGAAAATTGACTTTTGGCTTGAAACTTTTGGTCAGTTTCTTGATTTTTGGCGTCATTTCTATGGAATGCCACGAATTTGTCTTCCTGAGCTTTGGCAAGCCATGTGGCAATGACCGCTAAACTTCTCTAAGAAAAAGATATAATACTCCACAAAATAATTGGAGATCATTTGACAAATGGGATCTGTTCTAACTTCTAACTTCTGAGTTCTCAGTTCTTGCCTTCTGAAACGGGTCTTGAAAAGTAAGAATAATTTAATCACTCCCTCCATCCCAAAACTTTTGCTCATTAGAACAGTAACTTCTTGTAGATTTAATCGACACGTTATATGTAGTTTAAATGGAATTACAAGGCACAAGCAGAAGTGTAGACAAGCAACCAGAGAAGAAGACAGAGACTTCGACCAAAAGTCCATACAAGCCTTAATTTCTTCTCTAGACACATTTGGAACGGTGCTAAATCCTTTACTTTGTGGGATATCCTTTCACTTTTGACGTTATAAGGGTATATTGATCTTTGCAGGGGAACAAGGAAATAAAAATTGATCATGTAACGAAGAAGAAATCAATATCATTACTTGTATTGCTAAAGTAATTGAAAAGAGTCTAGCAATGGTATGCGCTCAAAACATTCTTTCTAACATCACTACCTCCCGAGACTTCTATTTATTGCCACCATAAAACTTTCAGTCCTCCCAAATCTTTTAGAGGCAAGAGCTCTAAGCTTCCATTCGGATGATGCAGCGGAGACTTTCTCCTCGTAGCATGTAGTCAAATGCCTTGTTAATCTCTGAGAAAGGGATTTCGTGGGTGATGAACTTCTCAAGCTCTAGCTCCTATAAACAGAAGATAACAAGTCAAATACTAAAGAATCTAATATTGCATGGGACAAGTCCAAATAACTTTGGAAAGACATACAAATAAAGGAAAATCAGAGCAACACTTCTGAGAATCTGACAAAAATATTTTACCTTTTTCATGTATTTTTCTACAACACCTGGAATGTCACTACGGGGCTTATAGTTGCCGAAGAAGGTGCCCTTGAGAGTCCTCCCATTCAGCAGATTCACAGGATGTGTTTTGAATGCATCATCCTTGTTTGGCACACCAACAAGCACAGCTACACCCCAGCCCTGTCAATAAATTGAAGTATCAAATTTCAGTTCTAACTGATTGATACTGTAGGAAAAAAAAATCAAAGAAACGATTACTAGGAAGGGCATTACATCATGAACACATTCAAATGCAGAGATCATGGCATTGGCATTTCCAGTGCACTCAACACTTCTGTCCACTCCTCCATCAGTCATTTCAGCGATCACCTGATAAATGCAGAGATCTTAAAAACCATAGAAGTGAAAAGATAATACATGCAAAATAATAGTAGGTCATTTACAAGCCTTGTCGCTCTTATGATATGAGATATTTTGTCGAAATGTCAACTTGCCTGTTGAACTGGCTTGTCATAATCTTTTGGGTTTACAAACTCGGTGACACCGAACTTCCTTGCTGTTTCAGATGTACTCAGCGTCAATAATGGTTCAAAAATTTACCAAGCAGATCCAATCAATTTCTTCAATATTACCGTCATTGAATCTATTGGCATTCAGGTCAACACCGATGATCCTTGAAGCCCCGGAAATGCGAGCTCCTTCAGCAGCCTGTAGCAGTCATCAAGGCAAAAGGAAAGCTCATTTGTTAAATGTCCATCATCAACAAAAGCAAGGGAGAAGGCAAACATTATCTACTTACAGCAAGGCCTACAGCCCCAAGTCCAAAAATGGCGACTGTTGATCCCTTTGTTGGTTTTGCAACATTTAGAGTTGCACCAAGTCCTGCAGAGAAGAACCACACAACATTTTTGCACCATTGTTTGAGAAATTCTATAATGTTGCTAAGAGTTTAAACTCATCAAACCTGTAGATATCCCACAGCTAAGAACGCAAACTTTATCTAGTGGTGCTTGCGGGTTGATCTTGGCAACACTACCAACGTGGACAACAGTATACTCGCTGAAGGTTGAAGTCCCAAGGAAGTGGTATATTGGCTGCCCATTTTTGGAGAACCTTGTCCGGCCATCATGTAACATGGCACCTCTATCGGTATTTATCCTGAGAAGGTCGCACATATTGCTTTCCTCTGACTTGCAATGGCGGCAATCCTTGCATTCTCCTGTGAATATAGGAAGAACATGGTCTCCTGGCTGCAAATCCGTCACCCCTTCACCTACACTCTCCACAATTCTGTGTTGAGCCCAAAAAACAGAAAAGGGAAGCAAATTTATGAGCTGATTTCTGAAAATCAAATTAATATACTAATGTTAGGTTTCTGAGTCTTCTAATTAGGCTTTCAAAAGAGAAATCTAGATGCCTACCCTCCTGCTTCATGACCAAATATCCGAGGGAAGAGTGGTGTTTGACCCTGTATGCAACTCACTTAATGTCAACTCAAGGATAACAAATCAAAGAAAGATGAAAAGCTACAAATTAGACAACCTCATAGCCCATCCACTGGATGCTCGATATTCAAATAATAGACCGTTGGAGGGTTTACTTAAAATCTGTAGTTGATATAAGGCAATATCACCAAAACCATATTGAAAACATAGAAGGGAAGAAAAAAATGCTTGTGCCGAGAAAATTGGATATGTGCTGAGAAAATTGGATAACTTTTCCATCAATACAGAAACATCAATCAGGTTAGCCAGCTCAATCTCCTTGATATACATGTCTAATTATCTCAAAAAATAATCACCATATGTCCACAAGTGAACTACAGAAATCTGCTTTCACCTCATCCCCCCCCCCCCCCCGGGGGCGGTAGCTGCTTTGTATAATCAGATCAAACAGACAAACAAAATATAAGTGCATAAGTTCTGAGAATCTAGTCTTGCAATTTACCTTTTATTTTCAAAAGTTAATACCCCACAAAATCAAAGCATTAAGAAAATGAATAGACAGTGACCTTAGCTTCCCAGAAGTAAACATCAGTATGGCAAAGGGAAGTAACTAGAATCCTCAAACGAACTTCCATTCTCTGGGGAGGTGCCACCTCAACTTCTTCCACCACCAACGGCTTTCCCGCCTCCCATGCCACAGCAGCTACAGTAATATTCATCAAAATTACCAAACATCCATAAACGTTGTGTAAAAAGAAGAATCTCTAACACCATAATACATCAAAATCAACCAAAAATGACAAGAACCCACATCCAATTAATCAATGCTAGTTAAGGAAAAAAACACAAGATACAAATATGGTACCTTTGCACCGAATAACTTGACCTGCAGTGTTAGACATTGTTGTGCCTAAAATGATTGTGATCAATGACCAGTATCTCTGATTATAAGGTGAGATTAATTCTAGTGCAATTATGCATGCATTATATAGAGATGCTTGGGGTGCATATGTAGGATTTGTCGGACAATCCACCGCCAAATGTGGAACTAAAGTACCAGAAACGCCACTATTCTTTGATTACCCTCTTGCACGGTGGAAAGACACGCACCTAAGTCCAATGTACTAGATTGTCTTTTCGTGGCTTAGTTCTTTAACTAATTTTTCAGCACTAATAGCCGCCTTCTATTTTGCATGGCAACTTGCCATGTGTCCTTCCAGCAAATACCCTCCATTTAAAAAAAAAAAAAAAAACCTCAATCTCAAGATTAATAATTTAGTTCTTGGTAAAAAAAATAAAAAATTAGCCACTACAATTTGAGAGGCTATAAGTGTAAAAAGGTTAGGAGTTAAAGTTTGAGAAACAAGAAATTAGCTCATAATACTATAATAGGAAAAGATTATTTGCTTGGTACTGAAGTCGCTTGATCAGCAAGAAGGTTTTCTTGCAAGTGTTCGTGATTTTGGTTTACTTGTTCCTAATTCATTCATAGATTGATTTGTGCAACAAGAAATAACCGAAAAAAGAAAAGGGATGTTAATACTTGATAAAACTAGAGAATGGCTTTAACCTAAAGAAAAAGAAAAGGTAGGAAAATGAAAGGACGATGAGGGCCCTCTTAAGAGCTTTCATAAACTTCCCATCTATTGTTTGAGATTGCTAAGGAACATTAGATCCAAGAGTTGTTAAACCTTTTCTTTCTTTCTTTCTATTTTTTCTTTTGGGTGTTGAAACTCAATAAGAAACTTGGATATTGTACAATATGAACAAGGCATTCAATCAGTCAAGATAAATTTTCTAACTCAAACATCTTCTTTTCTAGTTTGATTTTGTCTCCCTCATGAAATATTTAATATGATTTGGTTCTACAAAATGTTCACGACACTATTAAGATCCACATAACTATATCTTCTTTTTCTTCCCCCCACCCCCCATCTCAAGATACTTTGTTCTTCAAAATATGCCGCCTACAAAGTCATTCAGTTGCATTATTGCGTATCTTGATTTTTTTTTTTTTTTGGTATTCTTTCCAATTTTATGTTTTTCCCTTTGTGTCAATGAAGAAATTCAAAGAAAGTATACCTTCCATATGCCACATTATTATCTTTTTCTCATCATCAGAAGGCTGAAGACAGGTGATATGCTTTGCTATATTGGGCTTTTAATTGTAATGTCATAGAACTATCCGCTATGCTCTTGTAGTCCAAACTAAGTGTTGATCAAATCCAATCCGCGATTGATTCCAACAATGGATATTACATTGAAAGAATTTATTTAAACTTTCTAGGGTGATTTTTATGCTATTATTGGTATGGACTTTTGGTAGTGCTTGATTGCAAGGAAAAATACGAGAAAGAAGGAAATTTTTTTTTTTTTTTTTTTTAGTAAGGAGAAAGAAGGATAGTTAGTTCTTTTTTCTTCATGCATGCTTAAAGTTAGCATGAAAGTCGAAAAGTTCCTTTGCACTTCTCTGCAATCTCATCAAAGGCCATGCGAGATGAGATGAGTTGAAAAGTTTTCTTTTCTTTTCCTCTTTTTGGTGCTTCAATACAGTTTTTTTTTTGGGGGGTTGATGTCTTACCCCCGGTGTTTAGGGTCCGCCCCTCCATTTACAAGACTTGAAATCAAGACTTTGCATGAGGAACCGAGTAACTTGCCACTCGAACCAAAGGCGAAATTCTAGAAATATTGTTAAATTTAAAAAGTTTTTTAGAGACGTTTTCCCTAGTTAGGGTCACCAAATTTTCAAAATGCGGCCGCCCATGAAATATGGTATATATTAAGATTTGAATATAATGGTCGTCGCATTTAAATGTAATGCGATGCCCCTTTTTTAATTTTATCTGTTGCATTTGAATATATGTCAACTGTAAATGTATTAGCCTGAATTATTTTCTCCGTGCAGATGGATCTAATTAGGCACTTTAGCAAAGAACTTATGCCCATTTTCTACCATTTGAAAATTGGCGTATGACAATAAACTAGGGAAACTTTGAGCATTCAGCGGACTAGTTTAGTCATACAATTGAGAGGGACTACGAAGTTGGAACATATCTTCTTTGCTATGGTCAATTTTTAGCATTATCACCAGCTGCCAAAGCACCTACACGTGCGTATCACCGCAATCTTTGTGTTTCTTCGTCTTCCCTGCCAAAGTATATGGATATGCTTATGTTACTTTGACGACAGAAGAGTGCATGAATCATACTAATTGTGACCAAAAACAATACTAATTATGACCAAACACAAGATAACTTAGATAACTTGGATAAGTTCATTGCCGTATCCAGTTTTGGATGCGATGAATGATCATTTTCATACGACAGTCCTTTTAGCAAAAAAAAAATCTCGAAAGCAAGATAGTAGTGTTTCGTGGTGGGCACATTTCAAAAATACAGCGATACTAAATGAAAAAAAAAATGATTTTGAAGGACATCATAATTGAGATATTTTTAATTTAACAATATTCATAGAAATTTGCCCAACCAAGAGGAGTTGGTAATTCTTTTTTGTTTTTAACCGTGTAGCTACAGTATAACTATAGAGGCTAGATTGACTCCATATGCAACCACTGGGCCAATGCCTCAGTGGCTACCAGGGAGGGGTTTAAGCCTTTCTTTGAGCGAAAAAAATCTAAGAGTTGTGTCATAGCACTTTTTTGGTCTAGTTGAATTTGTATACCCGCTAGCCTCCTACTACAACCTCTTTAGGCTTCCCCTCCCCCTTAGATTAGGATAGAGTAGATTATACAAATGTATCGTTGCTGAAAAAAAAAAAAAAAAAAAAAGACTCCATATGCCCGGCGGACCAACTTTTAATATGACTCAGCAAAGCAGTCGATTCTGCTGAATATGCTGACAAATAGCAAGTCTTTCAATGGGCATAACCTTTGAAAGTTGAAATGATATTGCAAGAAATATTCGTCAAAATGATTCCTTTGATACGATGTTGACAAAAAAATGCAAAGGGAAATGACTCAATGATTTTGCCGTTTTCATCTTTTTCTTGGGTCAAACATAGATCTATGCCCTTCAACAACTTACACAGTCTCTTGCAATAATTTTATGAGAATCTGATATCTCAGTCGTAAGCAATTATACATAGGGTCCAATTCTTTCGGTCTCCACTAACTTGAACGTGCACTAATTACATGAGTAAAACACAGTAAACTAAAATCCACTGCTAATTCATTTCTCTCTGTATAAATGAAGCCTTTGATTTGCTTTCTCTCCAATCATAATTGCAGCTTTAGATAACTGTTCTAAGCCTTCCTGAGAAATTCTCAATTAAAACCATAGATAGATTCAGTCAATTTTTGACTGTTATTTGTTGGATCTAACATAATACATAGGACATATATATGAAATGTTGGCAATTGGGTACATGGGATTCTTGCTTTCTTACTTTTTGAGTTCCCTATGTTCATGATCACAGGCCGAGGACTATGTAGTATAGCAGCGTTACAGGCAAAGATACCAGCATCCCGAATATTACCCTGTAAAAGTCAAGAAAAACAGTTAAACAATTATGCATGCTGTGCAACAGCTACTAATTAAAGAGACAAACTCATTTTTCGTTAAGAGTTTCCAATCTTTTGAAGCTTAGATTGAGCTATATATTATGTCTACAATATATTCAAATGCTTCAGTTGATTTATCTAGCCCTAGTCGAATTACAAAAACTATGCTCTTTAATTTTTTTTTTTTCTCTTCTTTTTGGCTAGGTTCATGATTGGTCAAATGAATGTTGAACTGTTCATGCTCCACCAAAGATATATAGGTTGCAGCAGCTAGCTAGTGTTTTCTGATGGGATAAAGCTTACCCGGTACTAAGTATGTCAGGATGCAAGCCATATTCTCTCGCAAAGACAAAAGGGACAATTCCTTGAGGAAGAGCAGCCTGAAAGAATCCCAGAAAACCCACCAAAAAATTTCACTTGAGTTTGCAATCACCATTGATTAGACCACTTTTTATTTTCATCTGCAAAGTATTGAGCATGACAATTATCACCTGCACTATAGCCGCATGCAATCTAATTCCTCTTAGTCCAACCGCAATTGATGCAGCTGACATTATCAATGGTCCACAGACAAAACGAATCACCATTCCTACAGCCGCCATTTTCGTGCCACAAGCAATAATCCGAGGTTGTAATGCCATGAATAACCCTGCAACATTTGTTTGTGAGATGTAAGGGATGTGGAAAAGTTTTTTTTTAAGGTTTTAGATGAATTCTTGTAGCATTGACTAAAGTTTTTTATGTTTAAATATTTCAACGTAATTAGTCCTCCCACATTTAGATTTTACTCAAAAAATATTTGTACCACAATGATAATTACTTTTGCGTTAAAAAAAAAAAAAAAAGCTAATGATTTGATTTGTCCACATTGAAGATAATTATCAGTGATAAGATCACTTACCCAAACTGAACATGGCCATTCCAAGACCTGCATCGGAGATTATTTTGATGGAGTATTTAACCAAACTTGGCATCCCAAAATTCCATCTGTACCCAAGATTACAAATTAAGCATCATACACAAATATATCCACATCCAAAAAAAAATGAAAAAAAAAAAGAGAAAGAGATAGAGAGAAATTATTAACAAAGTGAAAGCACACAATTATTCCTTATTTCTTTTTTTTTTAACGCGCGTGTGATTCGTTATTTCTCTTTTTGTAAATAAATCTTTATCTCGATTCAACATTTTGACATCATAACATGAATTGATCATGCAACATTAGATTGTAGAACAGGTTTATGCCTTAAAACCAACTGTTATGAACAAGCATTAGGACAGAATCACTGCTATATCGTAGCAATGAATTGATCAAAATTTTTTTTTCTACTTTTCAGAAAATAATTATCTATATAATACTAGATAATAATTCATTGTTAAGAAACTTACTTGAATGAAATGAGCGACCAAAGAAGCCCCAAGACACTGGAATAAGTATTTGGATTACGCAAAAGCTTTCTGCCTACCATTATAAGAATAAGTCTTAACATGACAAAAGCATTTGGCATTTCTTGATCTTTTGCTGCACCATGCGGACCTACTTCGACAATTGAGCAATCTCTGAAACTAAGATCGTTTTCTGCAAGCCAACATTCAATAAAATGGATCATCACTGTTCATATTTATCGACAAAACCAACCATTTATTTTTAAAGAAAAATATGAAATTCAATGTGTATAAATTTAATCGTTTTTCTCTATTTCCCCATTCAACATCTCACGCAGGAGTGAGACTTTTTTTTTTGCTTCTTAATATTGTCCTCCCTGTAAATATGAACTTGAAAATCAAATTAGCAAGCTCTCATGAACTGATTTTGTTTGTTATTTCAATAGTCCACAATTATAAAGATATAGATTTGTGCCATAATCTAAATCTTTGCTCATATTTATGGCTACATTTTCTGAGGGCATGTATGGTTTAAGACCATCTCGACCACTTTAGGTGAATATATAGGTAAAGCATCATACTGGTTCAGGACAAGCATGCAGGAAGTTAAAGTGGATACCATGATGAAACTGTCTTTACACAATATGGTTAGACAATGGACCCCAAATAACTTCCCTATGATCAACCCAAATACATGCGCCCTAATGTAATCATTTCACTTGCTAAAAAAGTCTGACCGACCACCAATTTTATGCTTAACCCAAAAAAAAAAAATTGCCAATTATATGAAGAAATATTAGGTGATTCTAATTACTTGTAAATAGTTCTTTAACATGGTCAAGAAAGAGGTGTAAATCTCTTGAATTTTGTCTAGAGACACTAGTCACATGAAACTGCAATATAAATCTCGACTATTTTCGTGGGTAAGTATGAATTTAGACTAGTCAACTCCACTATAGAACTTGGAAATCTATTGTGCTTATAGTTAGTAAAAGTTGATTTGTTTGCCTAGCACCAAAAAAAAAAAAAAAAAAAACCCACTGTTGAACAATTATATTGGGGGAGTGATTCTTATCGATGGGCCAGAAGGCTTGAATTCTACTTAATTTGTTTGGAAAAAAATGTATATTTTGCACTGGAAAATATGCAAAAATTGGAAAAAAAAAAAGAAAAAAAAGAGTTGTATAAAAATCGTGGATGTTTGCTAGAACCATTAAGAGCTCCTGTCATGTTAGGGGATCAGGATGCAAACATCATACAACTTGAAGGATATTAGTAATGAAACACATATATGTTCTGTATCTACATCTATAATTGAAGATTTTGGTGCACAAGAAAAGTTTAATTTTCAATACATTTTTCCAGGAATCTTCAGAAGTATTCGTTAAAAGTTTCTGGCGTTAGCTCAAAACAATTTGAGTTTGTATGAAACAAATCACTGAAATATCTAGACTACAAGAGTTTCCCAGTAATTAACGACAAGAAATCGGATTAGCATATGGAATTTTATTCCTCAATTAATTAAGTACTCGAATAGCACAACTTAAATGGTAGATTCCAAGTTAATCCATGAACGTGCTTTTTTCTTTGTAACCCAAATTGTCATTTCCCAGCTTTTCATTAGTCTCAACCACAAAAGAGAACGACAAAGAAGTTAGAAAGCCAAGAAAAAAAAAAAAAGGCAAGGCAAAAGGAAACAGTAAAATTCCCATGAGAATCCAAGACAAACACCAACACCAACATGCGATGCTACAGGCAGCAATTGTCTAGAAATTTGAGATACAGACAAATCCAAAATCAGGATGACTTTAGTGTATGAATTTCTTGAAGTCTAAAATGACTAAAGTATTACCAATCATAAAAGAATCATGCTGCAAATACTACATAAAGTACTACTATACTATATTATGATACATTGGTTTGTGGCCAAATGATTCGATTCGAAGAGAGAATAGCGTCAAAATCTTTTAAAGTACAGCATTTTTATTTTTTTTTACAAAATACAACAATTATTGGTTCTAAATCAGAGTTTTACCCATGTATGTATGATTATCACCTCAATTTTCTGCCATTGTGAAATTTGCAATGAGAAGGTCCAGTCATGTCTGGTCCGGTCAGTTGAGGTAAGAATGAGACATCTATAAGCTCAGGAGACAAATGTACAACCAGACGCAGAAGAAAGCAATTTATCTCTGACTACTTCATGCCTGCTACTTTTTCTAGTAACCATGTGATCCATATTTTTCCAGATCCCAATGACCCAAATAAGCTAGGTGATAATTCCAAATTTGTTGCTAGAACACTTGATTATACTACCAAATCATGTTCATGTAGAATATCAAACTTTTAATTACGTAATTTTTTTAGTTCCGTTTAAGTTTTAGGGACCAAAAAAAAAAAAAACAATTTCTCTATACTAGTTGGTCTAAGTTCATAACATGCATTCTCCATTGAAACTTGAAATCCTCCATTGGTATATGCGTCATGCATCTTTACTCATGCTCAAATGAAAATATCTTTACAATATAGGGGATTAATTTTTACAGTCTCAATTTTTGTCTGCTTTTGTATATTTAATCAAGTCCTAGGAAAGAAAGAAACAGTGTCGCGTGTCAAAAGTTGACAATACATTAACATACCTCCAAGAGCATCTTTGTGCCCTTGTCCCTCTCCAAGACCACCTTGACCCTTCCCCGGTGAGTCCCACACTATTTTCGTTGTCGGAGACGGCTGGCGGTGCACCTTCCCGGCAGCAGCCGGAGACCTTATCCACATCGGAGTGTTTACGATGGCAGTCGCGGTCACAGTGTCCATTTCATTAAAGTTTGATGCCCTAGGAGTAGGCTGAAGTGAGTAGGCATCCGATGATGCGTAACCCGATAACCTAGGACTTGTTGCATGGTATCCAAACCCTAAATCACCATGCCCAAAAGCAACATCACCATTTGCATGGTGGAATTCATGCAAAGGTGCTGGCGTGTTGACTGAGAATATCTCTGCGTTGGATAGGTTTGATGCTCTAGGAGTGAGTCCTAGGGATGATGATAATGCGGACTCAGGAGCTGAAGATGTTGACCGTCTGATTCGAACATGGATGCGTCCATTGACGTCCATTTCTGACTCGGTGCAAAGTGGGCCCCGGCCGTCTAGGGATATTACATCGTTGTCAATCTCAAATTTGGTGATGGAGGCAGCAATGGAACCAGGAAATTGGCTGCGGATTAGCATCGTTGCACCTCTGTATTCAAAGAGAAATAGCAAGAAGGTGTACCTGCATTGCAGTAAATATAGGAATGTTACGACTGATTTACACAGTTTGTGTAATTTCTTTGGGGCATATTGTCGTTACATTTATATTAATTCAATCATTCCTTAAAAAAATGGTTGCTTGGTCTGAGTGAGAACTGGAATGAAACCTTCATTTTGGATCCTATTTCCATTTGTATTTTTAGTTTCTCAGTGGTTATTTTGTTAGTGTAATGTGTGTTTGAGCTTGAAGTGAGTTTTGCAGCCAAAATTGAATCAACTTTGTGGCTAAATTGTCTACTTTTTCTCTTTTATCGGCTTGCTTTCAGGAAGAGAATTTGTCTCTTTCCACATCAATCTCCTTTTTGTGTTATTCCCTCCCTCTTCAAGGATAAAATGAACTAAAAGTCAAAGGAGCCATTGAAATTTTTGAGAGACAAAAGGAAAAAAAGGAGAAAAAGTGCTTAGTTGAAATACCAGATAATGCATTGAAGGACTACAAGTTGCACCATAAGGCTTTGCGTGAAATCTCCATACATGGCTTTAAGCAGAGGAATGCCCATGACTAGTGTGTTCGGCAAAGTAGAAACTGAGAAGAGGGTTATCATCCAATCGAATTTTCCTGTGCAAACGGCCCAAATTGATAGCAAAACAAGCACAAACATCTTAGAGAGAGTATCGGCTAATATGAACTTTGTGTCCATCTCATACGGATTGTTTTGAGAAATGAAGTGAAAAGATAGCACTGGAACTGCAAAAACTGCGACAAACCGGTTAATCCCGGCGCATTGCTCTGGTGTGAAGATCTTCCACCACTTGACTGAACCATATGCAACAAGCATTGCAAAGTATAGAGGAACCATTGCACACATGACCTTGTAGAAATCACTAGCACTGATCATCTTTTAAGTCTCTTCCCCTCTCTTATTATGAGTAAGCTATGTAAAATTCAAGGATGAGAAGAAAGTTTGATGAGTATATATAGGGAGGGATATGCAGACTTAGAGGCTCCTTTCTCCACATGTGTTAGATACCAGATCACAGTGAATTACTTTTTGGTACTAGGTCTTATTCATTGCATAAAATTTGGGACGGGAACAGTGAATTATATGCACAATATTTGATGTGGAAAACCAACAAGAAAAAGTGTACTCAAGTAATTACAAAAAGTTAATCCAATAGTTGATGTACATTTTCAAAATTTTTCGTGAAGACTTTACTAATCATGTCGTTTTGGTACAGTAGCGTCTAAGAAGATTTGTAATTGGCAGATATGGTAGCAGAAGACAAGTTTAACTTGTGGTAAACAAGTAACTTGCCAGAGGTTTAGTCAATGTTAGAAAGGTTACCTTTTGTATTTAGAAACTATGTGGATTCTTTCTGTAAAAATTACGAACAACCGAGATGAAGCATTGAAATCGTTAAGGAATTTTTCTGATCAGACAGCATTATTTTATGAGTTGAATCTTCCTCCTGGTGATTATTAGGAATCTATTCTTGAGGTCAAAGAAGTTTAAAGAAGTTTAAAGTGGGCAGGCTTTAAAAAAGTTTAAAGTGGGCAGGCTGCCATGAACATGTTCATCTCAAAATTCTTCCTTTTTATAGTTGTCTCTGTAATAATCATATAGGCAACTAAAGAAAGAAGGAATTTGGTCACAAAAACTATAATACTAGTCATCGAATAGATTTTTTACCCCTTTACAAATAAGGTCATCTCTATATGGCCACAACACCGATTATGACTCGTAAATGAATGTCATATTATAATTTGTGATTTAAAATTATACTTATTATTATTACACTATTTTTATATCATAAAAATAAAGCTTATATGACTATTAGCATATATATATATATATATATATATATATATATATATATATATATATATATATATATATATATATATATATATATATATATTGTAAGTGTGAGATCTGGAATCATGATCTTCTACTTACAATTTTTTTTACTTTATTATTCAACCCAACCTTACCCGGAATCAGAAGTTATTAAACTATAGGGAGATTTTGTAGTAAAGGACCAAACCATAGCAAGGTAAAAGATAAATTATTCTCTCTTTTTTTTTTAGTGAATAGCGTGTTACGTATACTACAAATCTAAAAATCACTAGAACGAGAGATTACATTGTGAAATTTTTTACATATTCAAAATCTAGATAAACCATTAGTAGACCAATGATTATCTGTGCATGAGACCAATATCATATTTGCTATCCAACTGGTTCAATTTCAAATTTGATGTTGAGAATTCGATGAAATAATCTAAGAAATCCCAAGTTTGAAAATATTGCTTAGAATCAAAGAGAGAAAACTTTTATCAAAACACATAGAAGAAATGATATAAGAACAAAACTTATATATCTAATAAAGAAACTATAAAAAAAAACTTGAAAAATAAAATCCTACAAAAGAACAAAACTCTCATTAGGAAACCTTAAGAGAGAGAAAACTTTCACTAGTAAACACTAAAAGAGAGAAACTAATGATACCCTAAGAGAGACTTTATTAATATAAAAAAATAAAGCATAGAATTAACTGCTTAGCTCTTTATATGTTGTTGAAAATTAAAGCTCTCTAGACCTACGCAAACAATTACTACATTTTGTTTCTTGGATCTCTAGGCTCTGAATGCAATTTACGGTCACAAGATTGATGGAATGCTAATTCTAAAATATCCTTCAACTATATATTGAAATTCTTCCTTTTGTCTTTAAACTTCAAAAGTGGAATCGAACACAGCAGAATTTTTTTTGTGCTGCAAGTTCTATCTTAGCAGTTTCTGGTCATGGGCTGGATCTTAATCCAAGCAACATTTTATATGGAGTAGACTCAAAGACACATGTTAGCTAAATTGACATAACAACTTGCCCACCATTCACAAGAAGTAATCAAGGCCCAAATTATGTTGAACCACTAAACTACTATTAAAAATTACAGAATAACTTCGGCTTTAAGACAAAAGGGCTTTTTTTTAAAAAAATTGTCTTCATTTGTGTATGGCTGACGTTGCAATTTTTTATAACTCTTAATTGGGTTTTTTGCCCGATTATTGGGTTTTCATAGGGCTTAATTGGGTGTTTTGCCCAATGGCAAAGTCGAATCGTAAACGAGCCCAAGAAACAAAAACAGATAGACGCATGCAGTCGAAGCAAAGGGGTGAAAAAAATATGGAGCAGATGTAAACTGTTAAAGTTAATACTAAAAGAAGAGAAATGTATTTTTGTGGAGAAACGCAGCATTTTCTTGTGAGAATTCCAACACTTATAAGACAAAGAAAGGCATGGTGTTTTTGACAATTCAAATGGTCAAATGTGAGATTTTCCTTTTCTTTTCTTTCTGTGTTTATCAGATGATTTCAATTTCATACGTTGATAGGATTGGATATATATATCACATATTCAAAATTTAAATTTCTAATTTGAATTATGATTAGTTGTTATCCTTAGAAATATGATGCAGCAAAACGAATTTACAGATGAACGGGTCAAGAGATCAAATGTGTTTATGGGCTAATGTGGTCCAATCAAGATTTCAAAATAGAAATTCTTAACAATTTAATTTCTATCTAGCTTACTATCTTCCCGAGACACCCTACATTAAATGGAGTATGACTAATTAACTTTAAATTAAATAAGATAAATTATACTCAATAACAACCTACATTAAATCAAGGCGTTTTAGAAAAGTTACAAGTTAACTATATTCTTTAATTGAAAAAGTGGATTATAATTTGTGATAGATGAAAAAGAAAAACAAAACCATCAAAGTGAGAGGATGGAGTAGCAAATAAGCTGTGGGCTATCACATCTCGATTCCTACGAGAGAAAATGATGTATTTTCTTGTGAGAATTTCAATACTTATAACACAAGGGAATGGGTTTTTGACAAACCACCACAAATGTGGGGTTTTTTTTTCCTTCCTTTCTTTTTTTTTATTGATTTTAATTTAGTTTAAAGGAGACTCTAGAGTCTAAACCTCATAAGAAAAGAGATACAAAAAAGGTATCTGTAAGACAAAAAATAAATAAATATTTAAGAGTTGAATCAAGGAGTTCAACCTAACCTCATAAAGAAAAATAAATATTTTTTTTTCAGTTGGGGTATCCGAGCATACACCTGACTAGTCCCCCAACCCCGAGGAGAGCGGGCCCCACCGATCCTCAAGAAATTACGCCAGGTTGCTGAGGTCGGGTTCGAACCCAGGCCGTCTCACCCTAACGAGGGCTACACGACCACCCGACCAACCCGTCGGGGGCAAGTTCAACCTAACCTCCTTAATATACCTAAACTTGTCTCAACGCTGTTGAGTTAACTTAAGAGAGGATAAACATAGCACAAAAATAATGTTAAGAAGTAGGATTAATTTAATAGGGTTAGATATATGTCACATATATAAAATTTAAATTATGATTAATTATCATGCATTCAAATTAAATAATAGATACATTATCAATGTACAAGAAATAAATTGCTGCAAAACGAGCTTGAGGCATTTGACCAAGCGAAGGGGTGAGATATTGATGGGCTAAGGCGGTGGTCCAATCTGGTTTTCAAACAAGTCTTGACATTCTACTTCCTAAAAATAGGCATTCTTAATAGACTTTCTTAATTGCAATCTACTTTCCAAAAGGTGCTCGTGACGGTGATAGGCTAATAGGCTAAATAGCAACTCTTGACAGTTGCTGTCAAGCTGTCGCCTATCATATGTCTCTGTATTCCTGTTGACTGAACCTCCAAAATTGCAAAGTAGAGGACCCAAGTTTGATTGGGACTGGGGGCATAATGTCCGTCGTTATTGACAATCATTCAAAACGACCTAAAATGTTTTTTTAAATACTATATATATAATTATTCTATATTAATTACTTGTAAAATTTTATAACAAAGACATACTTATTATAATACATAGAGTTCATATAAACAGTAACAGAATATTAAACTCCCGTTGTAAGCATATACAATCAGTTAAAATGCTATCACATCTTGTTTAATAAATATTACGCTATTCTGAACGATTATCACTGGTAATTAATCATCTGTGCCTCGCGTCCCGTTGATTGGAAGCCACCCTTGCAAAGTGGATCCATAGAAATCTGAAGGGTAATTATCAAAAGTTACAATTCCTACAGATCAAAAACTTGAATAGATCTAATTCTATAAATCACGTGATCCAATTCTTATCATACCATTAGTTCTTGAATTGATGTGACAAAATTTAAATAGTAAAATGTATATAAATCGGATCTATCCAAGTGTTTACGAAACCATCAATAGCTTAAACCAACCACGTAGAAACTATCCACTAAATTCTCTATGCGGTTTTTGTATAGAATCTTCATTGAGCTTCTAACGGCGGGGCAATCTGAAATTCTTCTTTAAACAAACAGCAAGCAAGATGACTCTGTCCAATTTGACAATTCTTGCATACACACACACACACATATATATATATATATATATATATATATATATGTATATATATTATTTTCTGTATTTTAACATCTTTGGAATTGTTTTACATAATCTTTTTTCTAATTCTTTTGCCACTTTTACACACACACATATATATATATATATATATATATATATATATATATATATATATATATATATATATATATGCCACTTTTACTATCGCAAGCCTTATTTGAAAAATCATTTTTTTACCTCACATAAATACATGAAATCGATATAGTATATTTTTTTTTTACAAAAAAACTTCAAAAAATAGCAATTTAATAGATTTTGTAATAGTTTTCTAAACTCCAAAAGTATTTGTAGTTTTCTGATAAAAAAGGAAAAAGATAAAATCAAAGTACCATAACAAAAGAGTAGAGAGCCCTCAACATCTCCATTTCAATTTCATAATTTCAGCATAAAATATTTTT